TTTTCTACAAAGAAGGTTCATTTTAAAAAGAAGTACAAGGAATCTGGCAAAACAGTATAGTGTTTTTATACCAGGGCATGTCTCAGGTATCATTTAAAAAACCACAATTGAAACAAAAGCTCATTATCTTACTTATTTTTTGAATTGTCTTTTTTTGCCTGTACTTGATTCTATTTTAATTTTTTCCCTGTTTTTCTGAGCCATATTTCTTGACTTCTCTTGGCTTATTAAAATGGAATTAATTTTCTTTTAGTTTGTAATTATGTCAAAATTAGCTTGGCAGGAATATAAAGTCAAATAACTGCAAAACATAAACACTCACTTTTAAGAAAGATCAATTGGTGAATTATTGTGATTACTTTTTATATCGGGACAATCTTCCTACCTGTCACAATTTCATATGTGGCTCTAACATCTGAAAATATCTTATAGTTCTCATAGTTATTACAAAACAGAGGTTGTAGGAGTAATTTGGCTTTTATTAAATCTAAACAGACAAAAGAAAAACACACAGCCAAATTGGCATTATTATGGAAATTCCCTCACCTATGTTTATATTAAATAAAATGTTTTCTTTCTGGAAGAAGATGGTATTTTTTCTATTAAAATATAGCAGAACTTGATTTTTGAATTCATCTGTTTGTGTCAAAGAGAAAAAAATCAATGAAGACTTGTCTTGGAATGAACAAGGAACCAATCTAAAATTCTACAGACAATAAATCTGCTAATTTGCTTTTCTGTTTTTCAAAAAGCCCCTATTGGATGCTTTTTAAGTGGTTGGCATTTTTCTGCAAAGGGAACAAAGCACCTTCCCTCACAAGCTGTATTCCAGTTTTAGGGTTGGGCAGAAGAGAGGAAAGTAAATAAACCAGGGTTTGCTAAGGGCTATAAAACAAGGTGCAGAGCAAATGGCTAGATAGGGCTGACAGGGAAGACAGAGAAGCCCTCTCTGATAAGCTGGTATTTGAATAGGCACTGGAAAGAAATGAGGTCTAGGAGTAAGCAATATATCTCAGGGAAGAACATTCCAGGGATAAGGCACAGCACATTCAATACTTAAGATAGGATCATGCTTGGCACGTCCAGTACCCAGGATGGGTATTGCTACAACAAGATGAGAGAAGGAAGGAGCCTGTAGGCATGCGGTCAGCGGGGGTAGAAAGCTCACATAGGTTCTTACAGGCTATAGGACACCTTGGCCTTCAGTCTGAGCCAGATGAAAAGCTATGGATCAGCCTGAGTGTAGGAATGAAAGGTAGGTCTGGCTGTGCTGTGGAGTAGGAAGCCCTGAAGCAGACTTTCAAGAGTCTGGGCAAAAAATGGTGCTATGACCCAGAGCTGTGGCAGTGGAGATGGTGAACAATCTGCAATGTGAGGGGAAAAGAGGGATCAAGGGTGCACTACGGTGTTAGCGTAAGCTACTGGCAGACTGACTTGTCACTGAGCAAGATGATAAAAAGGAGGAAAAGAACAAGCTTTGGGCGAAAATTGGGAGACTGATTTTGAATGTATAAGGGTAAATTTTGTTTTGTCTTTTTCTTTTTTAACGGTACCAGGGATTGAACTCACCACCACACACTTGCAAGGCAGGTGCTTATGCCGCTGAGCTCAATCCCCAACCCCTATAAGGATAAATTTTGTGCCGAGGCACACTGGAGATGTCCAATAGGCAGCCTGCTGAATCTTCTGAAGATGAGATAAGAGGTAAAGACTGGAGATACTATCTGGCGGGTGTCACCATGGAAATGGTACTTAAAGGATAAGACTGGATTAGTCCATTTGAGGACTCTGTGTATATCAACAAGAGAAAATTGGGCCCCTCCTGTATTTGCAGTTTGGGAGATGAGGATGAGCCAACATTAGAGATGCTGAAGGAGATAAAACCAGGAAATTGTAGGAGAGGAAGTTAAAGGAAGAAGCATTTTCAAGGAGGGTAGAGTCCACAGCCTCAACTCACAGACCAATGAAGGTGAAATGGGATAACTGGGAACTTTAGATGTGGGAATGCAAGGTGTGGGGATGGTGAATACCCGGTGTGGGAATGAAAAAGTCTCCCGATCTGAGGGGAACTGTGGAGGGGACTTTAAAAGTGTGGCTGCAACAGACTCAAGGCAAGGTGAGGGCAAGAAAATGGGAAAAGCCTGGTGTGGATTACTTTGTTCAAGCACTCACAGCAACAGAAGAGTGAGAGATGTTGCACACATGTAAATATTTCTATAGCTAATTCAGGAGAAAGGAGAAATCTGACAGGGAAAGAAAATCCTTAAAACAATCTTTAGCAAGGTCAACCAGTTGTAATTTTACTGAACAGAGCAATCAACATTTGTTTGAGCAAGTAGATTTATTTGTACATTTCTTTTCCTTCATATACATGCATTCCAAAAAACGGTTACACAGGCATACCTTTAAGAAAAATATTTATATATAGAACCATGAAAGAGTAAAAGGCTGAAACCTCGTCTTTATCTTTTTCTGTCTCCTGTTCTTCAGTTCATCCTTTTAAAGTTAGGCCCTCACTCTTGAGATCTAAATTCCATTTAAAAGTTAATGTTTTGAGATTAATGACAATATATTACTTTCTCAATAGTGCTTAAATTTACTGAAATATCTTACAATAATGAAAACATGCGAGAGTTGCTCAAAATAACTTATTTGGAGAAGAGGATGCTTGGGGTGGGGAGGAGCTGGATTAAAGAAGCTGGTTTTGAGTTGATAATGAAGCTGGGTGATGAGTATATAGATGATTCCTTATGTCATTCTGTTTCTATATTTATATGAAAGTGTTCAGAATACAATGTTCCAAGTTAACAGAAATGCAGGGTCAATACTATGTTTAACCCAAAGGAATCCAGTAGGTGGTAAAATTTCAGATAACGTGGTAAATGATGGGGAGCTACATTAGGGCACAGCTTTCTTTTTCTTCGTGTTTTTCAAACTATATGAGCTACTTTGTTTTCATATACAGCCCAGGCAGAGGTGACTTTTTATTTGATTCTAAAATCACTTAGTAGCTTTCAGATAGAAATAATTTGGATGCTGTTTATGCAATTGATTTGGAAGACTGGAATTTTTAATGGAAGTTTGATCTCTTAAATATCTGATTGCTTTAGGTAAGCATGAAGAATTCTGAGAACACTTGTGCTATGAAATATGTTTTGAGGGAAAGTCATGAAAATCCAGTTGATTGCGATTTAAAAGAATGAATGCTTGATAGTTGGATGAACGAAAGATAAAATTTCATTGCAGGATTAGTTACTGTTTGTTTTTAAAAATGCAATTGTGATTTTGGAAATTTGTCTCATAATGCTATTAAATATCTATGTAGCAGAAGTTCTTAAATTTATTTCAAGTTAAGCAGATGTGCAAACAATCGAATTGCTACATAAACTCTTTAAATATTCACTAATAGGTATTCTTTGTTTCCTGGTTGCTCATTAACCAGTTTACAGCATTATCTCTAGTTTCTGTTAAGTTCCACCAGAGAAAGTTAAAAACTATGATAATTTTTTCCATATAAGAATCGTCAGATTTTATTCCTTATACCTTCCATTCACTATAAATTCATTCCTAAAAGTGTACCATGCATTTGAAACCTATAAATTCTATTTCAAAGGTTAAATCCAAATTATGTTGTCTTTGTATAGCTATGGTCTCTTTAGTATAGTTTTATTGCCCTCAACATTTTCTTGGTGTAAACTGCATACTGAACATGGGAATAAGATTTCTTTTGTAATTGATACCTAAATTTCTATTCTGATTTGAGCATCTAATTTGTACTGTAAAGGCATATAATTTGAGACTTGTAGCTATATCACAAAAGTACAACAGTTTACTCTGATCTCTAATTTTCTGAGTTGTACTGGCTATAATTTAAATTTTTTGCATGTTTTAACTGCCATGTAAAATCAGTATACATCAGAAAGCTTTGTACACTGACAGAGACCAGGAAAAAGATGTCTTGTTCTGATTTCAGAGCATTCCCTTTTCAGGTCTGCAGGTGCATGGGAACCCATTCATAATATTTGCTTAAAAAAGCTACAGTCACAGGAAAGAAATGCAGTGCTAACACAATAGAACTTTACTAATCTGTATAAGCACAATGAGTTTTAAAACATTATTATTATTAGCAAATTCTAGAGGCAAGTGGAACTTTCATTTGACTATGTGTCAGGGACAAAAATATACTTACTTTGTTCACCTAAGTTTTGGTTATTTTGCTAGTATGTGTTTACTAAATCTAGAAAAGCACTTGTTACTTATTGAAACAGGATGGAATTATGGTTGGTGGAAATTTTGCTGTCACAAATATATGTTCCATTTAAAAGATAATTGATAAAGAATGTTACTTTTTCCTTCACATTAAGTTTCACTTGTTTTGAAAACAATATGTAAGCCAAAATATAACCACAAGACAAAACAGTTACTCTAAGTGAACCCATTTCAGATAACTGGGTAAATCTCCCTGAAACATGTAACAGACAATTAAATAAGCAAAAACTAAATTAAGTCACCTGAGGTTTCCATTGTAAGCCTTTATTTGTAATACTATGACTTGTCTGTCTTAATAGATTCAGCAGAAAGCTGGCACATCAATTCAAAGCACACAAGCTAATGTTTGTGTCGAAATAATTGCAATCACTGAATAAGCTCTACTCCAGTCCGAGAAGTTAGATTAAAGCTCTCCATAGAGTTTAAGGGCTCTATGGTCAGAAAGAAGTAAAAAGTCTTTAAAAATTATATAGTAATAAGTCATTGTCCTTGGAAAACTAAATATTTGACCTACATGGAAATCCAATAGTAACTCAGTCCACTTACCTTGTTTTGTACTTTGTTAACACCTTACATTTCATAAAAATCAAACGACCCTCAATCCCTTCTCATTTACTATTTGAACTTAGCTTTGCGATGGGAGGGGAGGAAATACATATTATTATCCCATTTTACAGATGAGGACAACTAAGTTAACAGAGGTAACAACTCCAAATCAAGGTAATGCTGACCTAAGAGGTCTGATTGGAATGAAAGCTGTCAGTCCTGGACTAGGATTCTTTCTGCTTCTTGAGTCTGACACTGAGCTCAGTGAAGGATTAATTCTGTAGGAAAGTCAACTTTTTCTTTTTTTCTTTCTTTTTTTAAGGAAAAGCTAAAAGAGTGGAAAGTTAAAATATAAATATTCTTCAAGAGTATTTAATTCATTCATCCTAAAACCCATAGAGAAGAAACTTGTATGCTGCTGTTCTTTTCTTTCAGGGGGCCAAACCAAACCAAACCAAACCAAAACAAAACAAGATCTCTATTTACAATTGCTTTATCCACATCCTTGAATCAAATCCAAGTTGGTGGTTGCTGGACCCACATCCTAGAAAGATGAGAAGTGCATCGTGTATGGAGGATGCCCCAAGGATGTACCAAACCTCCACACTGATGGTGTAACACAGAACCTCCCTCCCAAGCTCCACTCAGTCACTGCTCCCCCAGGACCCAGGAGCAACACCCAGTGTCTCCAGGTGTAACATTCTTGTCGCTGTCGTTCCGTGGCAGAAATCCTTGACACCGCCACACGCCAGCCCTCCTAAAGTTCTCAGGGCAGACTGTGACTGGCATCTGCCACTTACCTGGGCGCGATGCTTTGGTCAGGAACCCCTCGTGCCATCCCAAGACGTTGGGTCAAGAAAATACAACAAAATAAAACTACTTACCGCTTTGGCCCAGTCCGAGAACAAGTGAAAACACCCAGGCCGCCCGGAGAAAGGAGGCAGGACCTTGCCGGCAGTTTTGCACGCAGACAAATGCAGCGGTGAGCAAAGCCAGGGCCGAGCCGCACATAATGCACAGCAGCCCGCCCCGCGCCTGCCGCCTGGCCGCTTTCCGGACGCGCGCTCGCGCCTCGCGGGCGCACCTCGGGGCCGGGCTGGGTGTCGCTAGCGCGGCGCCCCCCACGGGCCCTGCAGGCGGACCCCGCGGCCGCGGGCGAGCGGTGCAGGGAGGCGGGCCGGGGCTCGGCTGCGCATCGCAGGGCCCGGCGGCCCTCCCGGCTCGGCGGGCGCAGCGGGCTCCGCGGTCCTGGCGAGCGGCAGCAGCGCGGCCGGCGGCGACGACAGCGAGGGCTCCGCAGCCGGCTCCCGGACAAAGAAAAGAGCTTTTGTTCCTCTGCAACCGACGGGGCTCTGCTGCATAAATCAGCTTAGCGAGGAGCCAAACACAATCAGACCCAAACAAAGCCCGCGGCCGGGGGGAAAACCGCCCTGATGTGCATCACTGTGATGCTGCGGCGGTGGGAGGGGACGCCCGGACGGCCGGGAGGCCGAGGCGGAGGCGCACCGGCGCGGCCAGCGCCTTCCACAGGTGGGCAGGCAGGAGGCGGCAGCTCTGCAGCCGGCAGCCCGCAGGGACCAGGCGGCCGCGTCCCGAGCGGCGAGGGGCAAGCGCGGGTGCCAGCGGCCGGGGAGGCGCCTTCGCTGCGTCCTAGAGGCGCCCGTGCACGCCCGCAGGCGCAGCGCGAGGCATCGCCGCTCCCTGCCTGGCCGGGAGTGGAAGGCACCGGGCTCGCGCAGGAGGGAGGTTCCCGGGGTGCGGGAGCCCGGCCTCGCGGGGCGGGGGCTCCGTGCCCTGCTCCTTTGGCTCCGTGCGCGACTCCGGCGCCTGGCCGCCCAGCGCCCTGGCAGCTGGTGCTCCCTGCGGTGCGCCCGGCGAGGACGGGACGCGAGCGCAGCCGGCGGCGGCTGGGTGGTCCTCCCCCGGCCCCCCGGGGGGCTCCCTACCTACGTTTCGCGGGGCGCTCTGCGGGCCGCGGGTTGCTAGGAAACCGCCCCACGCTATGGAGCGCCTGGCCCGGGTCGCCCGCAGGCGCAGCGGCCCCAGGCTGCAGCGGCAGCAGCCCCAGAGCCCGTGGGCGGGACATTGGTGAGGCATGAAGTCACCGCGGCCCACACTCGCTCTTTGTTTTGCTCGCTCCAGCTCTCTTTCTCCCCTTTGGATCTGATAGTTGCCATTCCCGTCGTTCCCGAGAACTCCTGATGCGTGGCCGCGCCACAGGACGTCGCATGCCGCGTTCCCCATTCCCTCCTCTGCGGAATCCTGCACCCCTACGATTGCCCGGCTGGATGGGGTGGAAGACTCGTTCAGCACAAGTGGCCACTCTGAGCAAACTCCAATCTCACCCCCGAGCTGCGCGCTACTTTGTTTAGAGATACTCACTGCCCTGCAGCTGCTGCATGTAAAGTGGAGTCCAGGGCCTCTGCCCGCCCCCAGAACTCTCTGTTCCCGGGGTGCGCAACGCCTGCTGTGCTAGCAGGATTGGGAGCTCGCCCTCTGCCCCATCCCAAGGCTGTCCCGGGTCTCCCCAGCCCTTGGAGAGTTGCATGAGTTCGCAGGGACTGTTCCCGGGGACACTGCCCGAGATTTCTCACTGCTCCTTCCCGAAGTCTCAGCTCTGGGCTGGACAACCTTGCTTTTTCCCAGGGTTTGGTGGTGACTCTGGGCTTTTGCTGGCCACACTCTGTCTTGACATTAAACCTCGCCTGCCCAGCAAACGGAACAAAGAAGTCTAGAGACCACAGCCAAGGAGTGAAAGACGCTAAGGCGAGGGGAAGGGAGGGCGTTTCTGCCTGGTGGCAGCTCAGAAATTCAGGTGCCAGTGGGAGCGATGTGTTGCGGGGCGACTGGGGAAGCCACACGCCTCCTTCGGGCCTTGTCACCATCACTCAAAGCGGAGGGAGGGGACCCAGTCCTCCCCGCCCCCAGTTGGAAGAGGGGCGCTGTTTCCAATTTGAGACAGGGTGATGATGGTTTCCTTTTCCCCCGTGGGGGCAGGAGTGCTGTCCCAATTTTGAAGTCTGGCTTCTTATTTTTCCACTAGTAGCTTATCCCATCTCTGAAACAGAACTCCCGTCTCTTATAGGCAGCTGACCAGTCCAGCCAGGTCAAGGTGAAACTTGCAGGGACTTTCCCTTCTTATTTAATAGTTTCCGTCTCCTTATTTGGAGTAAGAAAACAAGTGGGAGGCAAGCTCTTTCTGTCTCTGTGACTCTCTCTCTTTTTCTGTTTTCTAATTAACTGAGTGAACGGAAAGTACCTGGTTAATACACCACAGCATGAAAAACTCCCTTCTTTCAGGTGTGGACGGCACCTTGGGGTGCGCCGTCAGCTAAGGAAACTGGAAACCGAGTTGCAGAAGTGCGAGGATCCACCAGGAGGCAATTCCACTGTGGGGCAGTATGCGCTACACAAGTAGAACTAAACCTGCTTCGTTTCACTTCTCGAAGTCTCTTTGTTTTCATGTCTGAAACACCATAGTGCTACTTAACATATGAAAAATCTGATATGTGATTCACTGGGGCAGTGATCAGGTCACAGACCTAAGCAATGCAGCTACTCTTGAGATGGCACAGTGCAAAATAAAGAAAAATATCCCAAATTCCCCTGAAGATGTGTGAGCCTACCATACACCTTAAGGTGACTGTCATCTCATCAGAATTTTATGGCAGTTTTCATCTACTTCTTGATGCTGGATTGTAAACGGAGGTTATGATATTATATGCATATAAATTTAGGCACATAAGAATTGATGTAATTTTGCAGAATAGATGGGGTATGCACTAATTTTGTATCCCTGTATTGTTAGGTGCGGATATATTCTGTAGAGCAGGTCACAACAGCTGTGTAGCAAGAGGAATAGGATAAAGCTCATAGATGTTTCAGGAAAGTTTAAAGCCCTTCAGGAAGAAGGACATCCACAGGCTGTGAAGTGAATACTCCGCAAATAAATTTCAGGGTGCCAGCTTTATGGAGTTATTGAAGGAAAAGCATAGCACCATTTATTACCACTTTCCAGTTGAGAAGTGATTTTAGGTCTGGTTATTAAAGAAAAATACAGCACAATATCCTGGATGTGAGACTGTGATCCTGCAAATTATTTTTAAGCAACTTATCTGTACTTTGGGGCTACAAACTTGAATGTAAATTCCCCCAAAATCCTGCAAACTATCATGAGGATTATTTTTACAGTAACCATAATTTACTTAGAAACAAAAATTTTGCTTGCATCCAGTAAATAACTCACGTCACCAAAACTCATCTTTTTTTCCTGTAAAAACTATACAAAGTATTGTGAAAAAAATGGAATATTATTACCTTTATCATATCTGAAGATGTTAACAGAAGAAAAGATGTTCAAGACTTGATGATGTCACTAATTTCTGGTTTTCAAATGTATAACTGCTGTTTTATGCTGAATTTCTGACAGCTAATTTTTCATTATTTATGGTAATAAGAACACATGAAATTCACAGTCTAAGAAAAACATTTCAGTCATTCATTCTAACCTTCCTATCATAAGATTCTTTGAGTTGTAAGTCATTCAATTACATGACTTAAAATTCTTCCCTAGCCCTTTTGATTTCTCACCAATTCAGTTTTTAATGAAGTTAAGCCTTAAGCGAGAAAGAGGAGGGAGAGGATCATTAAGAAGACTTTTTTTTTTTTTTGAGTTTGCAGACTTTAATCAGATTTTGCTCAAATTGTTGACCTCATAGTTGTATCTATGATCAGACTGACATTATAGCATTAGTCTTTCTGAAACTGAGATTGCAGCTCCTCAGTAGCTTTTTAGTGGACAGTCTACATTGCATCTGAAATTGCTGACTGGTGGCATCAGCTATGTCACAGCTAATATGACTTCTAGTTTCTTGTAGTGATAATGAACATAAACCATTGAAATGTTCTTTTCACTGAAGTGCTCTGTAAAATAGTGTTTCTCATCATTTTGTGGACCGAGTCTTATCTGCAACATAATTACCTGCAGAGTAAATCTGAGCTCTAATTCTTTGTCTCAGTGCCAGGAGATTCTGATTTAGTAGATCTTGTAGAGTGTCCAGCAACCTGCATTTTAACAAAGCTTCTTAAATTGTTTTTACATACCTGGGAGTTTAAGAACCTCCCACTAACTGGTTAATACAGATACCTCAAATTCTTTATAGGTGTTTATGGACAAAGTTCATTGTCAGATAGAAATTTTAAAAAAGAACCAGAATCTCTTGCCAAGACAATCTTTGGATGATTGAGTTCATGAAATGCTAATGATTTCTGAAAAAAAGACTTCCATGATTAAACTTGAGGAATGCTAAGTTAAAGTTAAATTAAATTCTTTCCTGTAGACATTTCCAGAAACTCAAGTAGGCCAGCATGTACTGAATTCTCCAGAAAAGCCCTTTATTTAAAGAACATCAAGCAGACTAATTTTTGATGAATCATACTATTGAGCTGGTCCCATTTTATTAATGTGGAAACTGAGACCCAAATTGGCAAAGAAACCAATCTCACGTCTTTAAGAAAATTCTTGAGCAGGCATGAAATAGAGGTCTGATTCTTTTGATCATCACTTGTCAGGGATGGATTTTGATACCACGTAGCAGAGTCCTATTGTGGTTTGTATAAATTAAAAAAAAGAAAAATGTTGGAAGGAAATTGGAAATTCACAGAATCAGGGGGAGGCCGATTGAATAAGACCAAAAACAAAAGATAGAGAAATGCAAGGAATAAATTTATAATGCACAAGAGGGAGTTCTAGTCACCCCCTTCCTCTTTGAATCACTTAAGATTCAGCATCCTGATTAAGAATATTTGACTTTCAAGACTTTATCACCTATCAGTATCCAAGCTTATTGAGGTAGAGAAGGGCAGG